GTAAAGGTGCAGGTACAACCAGTAAAAACTTGTCACCATGAGGCTTGAAGTTCCTCTTGTAAAGGACCCCTTCTCGAAGACAGAACGAAGGGAGCTCTCTGGATAAAGTGCGTGGGACTTTAACGTTGAGTCCTTGGAGACGCTGTATAAGCGGCAGCAAATTGGGGTCATTTTGTTGTTGTTGAGCGATTTCTGATGCCTGGACGACGCCTAGAAACGGGAAGTCTTCTTCCTCCAGCTCACTCGTCTCCACTGGTGCGCGTGACAGGCAGTCGGCATCGCTGTGCTTTTTCCCAGATTTGTATACCACAGTAACATCGTACTTTTGTAGCCTAAGGCTCCATCTTGCTAGTCGGCCAGAGGGATCCTTGAGATTCGCCAGCCAACACAGGTAATGGTGGTCACTGACTGCTCAGAATGGTCTACCGTAGAGGTGCGGCCGAAATTTACTTATGGCCCAGATGACCGCGAGACACTCTTTTTCAATTGCAGAGTAATTTGTCTTAGCTTTCGAAAGCTTGCGGCTGGCATACGCTAGCACTTTTTCTTGGCCGTTTTGCCGCTGGACTAGAATGGCTCCGAGGCCGACGTTACTCGCATCAGTGTGAACTTCAGTTTCTGCAGTCTCATCGAAGTGGGCGAGGATTGGAGAGGCGTGCAGGCGTGTTCTTAACTCATCAAATGCTTCCTGTTGTTCACTTTCCCACATAAAGGGCACCTCATCTTTTATTAGATTAGTAAGTGGTTCAGCAATGCTTGAAAAATTTTTCACAAATCGCCGATAGTATGCGCATAAGCCCAGGAAGCGACGTACTGACTTCTTGTCTTTGGGTGTCGGGAACTTCGCGATGGCAACTGTCTTTTCGGGATCTGGCCGAACGCCGTCGGAGCTGACGACGTGTCCGAGGAATCAAAGCTCTTCAAAAGCAAAGTGGCATTTTTCTGGCTTGATGGTCAAGTCTGCTGAACGAATGGCTTCTAATACTGTGCGGAGTCGCTCTAGATGTTGGTCGAATGTAGCAGAAAATACGACGTCATCCAAGTAGACCAAGCAGGACTGCCATTTCAGTCCCGCGAGGACAGCGTCCATCATTCTCCGAAACGTAGCTGGCGCTGTGCACAGGCCGAATGGAAGCGCTTTAAATTCGTAGAGGCCATCTGGGGCTATGAATGCCGTCTTTTTACGGTCGCGCTCATCCACCTCAATTTGCCAATATCCACTCTTGAGATCAAGGGAGGAGAAGTACTTCGCACTCCGTAGTCGATTGAGTGTATCATCGATACGCGGCAGAGGGTATACATCCCGTTTCGTTACGCTGTTCAGTTTCCGATAGTCGACACAGAATCGAAGGCTGTTATCTTTCTTTTTAACAAGCACTACGGGAGACGCCCATGGACTGCTGGAAGGCTGGATCACGTCATGTGAAAGCATCTCCTCCACTTGTTTCTTGATGACGTCTCTTTCCTTTTGCGATACTCGATATGGGTGTTGGTAAATCGGTCTCGTGGCTTCTTCTGTTATAATCCTGTGTTTTGCAATAGCCGTGCGTCGCACCTTAGAGGATGTTCTAAAGCAGTCCAAAAACTCTTTTATAAGGGTAAACAATCGTTTCTTTTGATATTCTGGGAGCCTATGGTTGACGTTAACTGATGCGTCGACGTTGCAGGCCTCTTGTGGAGTGGTTGGCGTTGTCGCTAAACTGCATAGTTCAGTCGTCATGCAGAACTTGTGGAAATAGGCGATAGCCATACCTTGCGCGATGTGCTGACATTCATTCCCAAAATTCGTAAGGAGGTCAACTGAGCGGCCATTCCTTAAGTGAACAGCACCCCTCGCTACGCAAATTCCTTTGTTTAAAAAGAGCTCTACCTTTTCATTTGCTATTCCTTCGTGGTGACAAAATGCCTTATTTTCAACAAGCACCATTACACTACAGCATAGTGGCACTGTGACGTCATCATCAACAACGCGCAGAGCAGTAAGACGTCGCTTTTCCGATTCCTCCACCGACATAGCTTGTTCGGTCGAAAACGTTACACTGAATATGCGGAGATTAATTATGGATCCATTGGCTTGCAGAAAATCCATTCCTAGTATAAGCTCCCTTGAACAGTCCGGCAGTACGATGAAGTCAGCAACGTAAGTAAAGCCTCTTATTTCGAGCCTTGAGGTGCATCTGCCAAGCGGTGTAATAGTGTGGTCACCTGCCGTGCGTATCTGTGCCCCACTCCATTTTGTCACAACATTTTTCAGTTTCTTTGCCAATTTGTGACTCATTACCGAATAATCAGCGCCGGTGTCAACTAATGCATTTAGCTCGTATCCGTCTATTTTTAACCGCAAATCTGAAGTAATCTTCGCACTGCTGCGCTTATCCTCTGTAAACATAGCATCGTCACCTTGAAACCGTAATGGAGGATCTTTGCAACTGTAGTTATCAGCGGCCTCACCTCCACAGGTCGCTTGCTTCAGTTTTCCGGGTGTGGGCTTGTAGAACGGTGCCCAGACCGTGCGGAAGAAGCACGTGGGCTGGGTGATCGGTAACGCCTGGGCAACGGCGATCTTGGCTGACGTTTGCGTGGAGTGAGTGGGCTCTGGCGCGCGGACAAGTACTCTTTGATCTCCGTTGGCTGTTCACCGTTTCGAGGGCATGGTGCGTACAACGGAAAGCCCCTTAATCCTGCCTGTCGGTGAGGGCAGAACCTATACAGATGACCTGCTTCCCCACAATGGAAACACAAAGGCCTGCGCTCATGGTCACGCCAGATGTCACTTTTCCGGGGCCTTTGATCCACGTAGCGAGCTACACCATGGGCTCGTGACAGGTAGGTAGCCGTCGGTTCCAGTGGACGAGGTGCGTTGCGTACCGTCTGTGGGCAAGTAGAGGCCATCGCAACTGCTGCATTGGTGTGCGCCGCGAGTTGTCTGAGTATTTCAGAGTACGTTGGGATGCGTTGGATCGGCTGTGGCGCACGTTCCGGCTCACGTATCATTTGCCTCAGTTCATCTCGTACTACGTCGACGACAGACAGTGTTGCTGTAGTGTGAGGTGCTTGCAACTTGCTGAGCTCTTCCCTGATCTCCGACCTGATGAGTTCTCGCAGGGCGTCCATGTCAGTTCGCTGGCGTCCAGAGAAGACATTGGCAGGTGCGTAGTTTATGTCTCGATTGTACTGTCGAGCCTGCCGTTCTAGCGTTTTCTCGATGGCTGTCGCTTCCGTATGAAACTCTGCAACTGTTCGTGGTGGGTTGCGGACGAGAACAGCGAATAGCTCTTGCTTCACCCCACACATGAGGTGGCATAGCTTCTTGTCTTCAGTCATATGGGAATCTGCGCGCTCGAACAGGCGGATCATGTCCTCGATATACATTGCGACACTTTCGTTGGTGAGTTGGTTCCTGGATTCGAGCGCAGCTTGCGCCTTTTCTTTGCGATCCGCGCTGGCATAAGTCGCCAGAGCTTGTCGCCGAAATTCATCCCAAGTCGTAAAGGAGGTTTCATGGTTCTCCTACCACGTCTTTGCGAAGTCCTCCAAAGCAAAGTATACGCGGCGGAGCTTCTCTCTCTCGTCCCAACCGTTCAAACGTGCCACTCTCTCAAAGAGGTTCAGCCAATCTTCTACGTCTTCATACAAGTCGCCATGAAATAGTGGTGGCTGGTGAGGCTGATTTATTACCACTTGGGCTGGTGTTACATGACTTGTCATGGTGGTGGCATCCATTGACTGAGTTCCCCTTGGCGTGAAGTGGAGTGGACTGAATTCTGGTGAATCACCTCGAAGACGGCGACTGGTCCTCTGATGCACAGGTCTCAGTTCCCCAGGATCAACTCGCTGGTGGTCGGGGCTACGCTGTCTTGCGTTAGTAGGGCTTTGATTCATTACCCAGCACGTCCACCAGAAATGTAACGATGTTGAAGGACTCGGGGTGTAATAAAACGTATTTATTAAAGGGCGAACCTGTGCCCACAACTCAAAGAGACTATGGTCGTAGCACGTTACAGCAGAACACTAAAGATGTCTCCTTCTTCTACTTCTTCAAGAAGAGTCCCAAGCGCGTGGCGCACATCAGCAGGGGCCAGCTGGGTTCTCGTGCTACCATCATCGTCTCTGCGCAACACTAGACGGCGCGCATGTATGTCCCTGTGCGCGAGGTGATGGGCGCGTTGTTTGAATGCAGGCACTATGTTGCGGCAATATTATAAAAGACAGGATATAGCCCAGCAAGCCTCTTGTGATGGCAGTTCTAATATAAGCACCTAACTAAAAGGCCTTCAAGCCAAGCAGCAATTGTGGCCACGACAAATATGCACAAATTTACCGATATGAGAAATGCTGTGCTTGGAAAGTCAGATATGCTATGCGATGTGTATAAGGAACATACATCAAAATAGGACGTGTACCAACATGAAAGCTAAGGAATGCTTTAGTCAATAAGAAGAACAAGCTGCCGAGCGGAAATTTCCTTAGTCTTGTTTACACTGTAGTCTGCCACGATTGTGACAACCCGTTAATCTACGAAATCTATGATTTCAATGAAAGAGTTAAACGACACGAATATGATGTCCCCAAATCATGAATGGCCTTGAATGCCCTCGCTGAACATGTGGAATATACAGGCTTTCAAATGGACTGGTCAAGTAACCGTGTTCTGGTCGAAGAAAACAAGCTTGCATCATGCCGGCACCTGGAATCCCTGCACATGCACACAGCTGCACATATCCTCAATAAGATTTATGGAACACTGACCATATACTTTTGGTGCTTACATCACTCACCTAGTCATACTTAAATACGATGTACCTTTCTCATGGCTGTCATTCAGAACAATATCGGGTGCCTAAGCGTCAATAAACTTTGTGTTGTTTTGGTCAGTGTATTTTTTTGTTTGAACATTAAGAAGAAACAGTTATGCATTACCTTTTTTTCAGGCCTCTTCTAGCTGTTCAGTGTAGTTGCAGTTGAAGGAGTGACCTTTTGAGTATTGATCAAGGGTAATGCTTATTTTTGTGATGGTGGCACAGACTGTCGCCAGTTTTCCATGAATTGGCCAGGTTTTACCAAAGTTCCCCCAGTTTTCCAGCAAGGCAATTCCCCCACTCTTCCAGGTTGGTAGACACCCTGCACAAATAAAGATAGATGGCAGGTAAATGGCGTCCTGTGTTTCTTGTTTTACGTGAGTGTCATTCTGCACTTTATAACTTTGGAAGTACTTGTTGCTGGGCTGGTTGGTATAACATTATTAGGGGAAATTATAGACGATGCGAATGTGTGGTGCAGTGTAAATATTTTCTGTAGTTCAGCTGCGAGTGAACTCTTTCCCTGTGCTTTTTGATTTTTCCTATGGTGCTTAGGCATCTAGAATTTTCCCCCTTAGCTTAATTACCTCCCTGAAGCTATGTACCCTCTCACCCATTAATAACCATTATTAAACTATTGTATGTGGCATTGTTGATGCGAAATGACATTAGAGTATATCCTAGAGCTCCTGCAGGATCACCGGCTGGATGTGACAACCAGTTCACCATTTGTAGGACACGAACTGCTGACATTTTCAATATATCTGTTCGCACAGTGCTTCACTGGAGTCATGCAAGCTTAAGATATGGTGCTCCCACAAAGAAAATTTTCTTCCTGTGCTGTGACCAATGGGAAAACTATGTAGACAATAATGAAAAGAGATCACAGCTAGGCTTAGCATGTGATGTCTGCCTCAATAAATTAATGCAAGTGTGGTTATATCACCATGGTGTTGCCAGTTTATTACTACATTTGATATGAACCTCTGTTCGCTCCACCATGGTGTTCCTGGGGGTGTACACAGTCTTACCTCTGAGACAGCATTGCCAGAACTAATTTCACTGTGACAATCTTGAACAGGTGTACGACAAGCATACGCCAGTGCAGAGAACACAAGAGAAGTGGTCACTGCTTACATGTTCAAGGTCCTGTGCACGCACAACGGCCTATGATTTTACAGTGTCTCACATTCTGAGTGGAGTATACATGGTGATGGCTGGAGCCATCTTTGTGGGCACCAGCTAGACTGTCACAATGTGCATATTGTTGCTTGAGACAACTGTTTAGGACAAAAAAAGGGCACCGTAGAAAAAAATATTTTTAGGCTAATGTAAACGCTTGTGGTGAGGAGACTCTCAAAAGGTATATGGTGTGTCATCTTGCAATAGATAAGCAACATTTATACCTAGTTTATGTTAGTAGGGGTCTGCTTAACATTGGGCATACAAGCTTGTGGCTAGAGAAGGATGATGTCCAGAAGATACCCTCCTGAAATGTTAACCTGCACCGTTCTCCTTTGCCCTTCTTGGTGCACTGGAATTTTTGCCACTAGTTCCTTCAGTGGGTGCTTTTGAAGGGCTTGTGAATAAGCTCACTCTTACCAGCTACTTTTCCCAAGGGCCAATCCTGCTGTTGGAACTTGTTTGCTTGGCAGAAATTTTTAACAGAAAAAGAAGCTTCAATCGTTACACAAATAAAGCTACAGCATTGCAAGATTACTATGATGTTATGTACACAGACCTCCCACATACAACTCACTAGAATGTCACCAATTACCTCTCTGGTGAGCCTGATTATGCCTTAAGACAGCATGTAAGTTTCTTGATCCTATAATTTTCAATCAGTACATGAACCTTGAAAAAACAAGATCGTCACGTGCAGTGCATAAAACCAGTGCTTATGAGCTGCAACGATGCCATCAGAAGCATCAGCAAAAGTGAATTCACCCTGCTAGAAAGGAAATTCTACATGAAGCCTGTAAATGTACTGTTAACAAAGTATTCTCAACAATTTCATTACTTCTATTTCTGTAATTTGCATAATCCTGTCTCATGCATAACTTGCTGTCAACCCAAAAATTATTGACCTCTGAGGTGTTACTCAAGTGACCATGATCAATTAACATACCTGCAAGCATCAGTGCTAACGTAATAAAATTGAAGACTTTGATAAAGTAATGCTCTCTGCTACTCACCCCTTCAAAAACATTTTTAGCTTCCCTTCAAACTTGTTTATTTAAAGACTCAACAGGCACAGTGACGTGACTCATGAAAGGCATTTCCGGAGCTTGTGGAGCAACTAAAATCTCTTTGTAGCAGCATAAAAGCCGCCTGAAGCTTTTAAGCTAGAGCTGTTGCACCACATGTCACACGGAAACACTTCATGAACATACGCATGCACGTTCACTTGGACTTCTGCTCAACATAAACGTAGACTTTTTGCTCGTCTGCAGACATCCCCAATTTATATCAAGCTAACTAGCAGTTTCCGGGAATTCACATGGTATTTGTAAATGAGTGTGGCTTTCAGTGATAGTTTAGCTACAATATTGAAGCACGGACTAGTAAGACTTTTTATGCATTCTATTTACTTTCCAAAAAAAAGAGGTCTGATTATATTAGTGTTTTTATTAGTACAACCTAATCATTCAATGTGTGGAGAAGTGTTTGCTGTCATCGTTTATGTACAGAATTGTTAGGTTCCTGATTAATGAGCGGTTCATAAAAAAAGGGTTTTGTAACTGGTCCTTACTGCCCATTATTTATTATGACTTAACAAAATTTAGAGTTATGGGGGAGTAAGTAGTTACACTTGGCAAACTGTTTGCCATGTACATTCGTCGAGCTCAAGAAGCCCAGCCGAGACATACCGGAATAGTGGAACACCATGGTTTCTAGGAGAAGTAACAGTGATTGTACAGCATGCGGTACTGCTGATAAAATTTGCCCACTGTATGGACTTAAAACTTAACCATCCTGTATGAAATATTTTGAAAAGTAAACTGTCACAAATAGGACCACAAAGAAAAAAAATTAACTAAATGGTCAGTTCTATATGAAGGTACTAAATTACTGTATTTTAATTCAGTCAGTCAAGCAAGACTGTTGTCCAAGCACAACTTTCTCATTATTACTTTTATCTGACATTAACCACAACAGCTAGAAACTATTTGACTGAAGTCATGTGGTAACTTTTGCAGTATAAGCGGGTTCAAATTGTTAAGAAAGTTTGTGCCCAGCAACTTTTTCAACTACATTGCACCTTCATGTCTACTGTGATGACATCTCACAGGGGTAATGCATGGATTTCAAGCGCATGCCCTATACTTGCTCCCTGAGAAAACAAAACAACGAAGAGTGCACGCAGTGCTTGACACAAATAATGAAATTTTTGAAAAAGATGTAGCAGGTTTTGCCTCTTGATGCAGATCTCTGAAGGCACTTACATAATTACCACCACATTTTGCCAACATGATTGATTGATTGATATGTGGGGTTTAACGTCCCAAAACCACAATTTGATTACGAGAGACGCCGTAGTGGAGGGCTCCGGAAATTTTTGACCACCTGGGGTTCTTTAACGTGCACCCAAATCTGAGTACACGGGCCTACAACATTTCCGCCTCCATCGGAAATGCAGCCGCCGCAGCCGGGATTCGAACCCGCGCCCTGCGGGTCAGCAGCCGAGTACCTTAGCCACTAGACCACCGCGGCGGGGCCACATTTTGCCAACAAGCAGCCCCATGTCGGGTTATAACCAGTTTCCTCGTACCACCTTGCTCTTAGTTCTGGCTCGACATAGGTTTCAAAAATCTATTCCTTGCAAACTGTGCGTGTGATTGTAGACCATTCTTCAACGGTTATTTTCGTGCTTACTCGATAGGAAAACATGAGCTACATATTTTCTAAGTTTCTAAAATATGAATGGTAATTGAATTGTGAATGATAATCTACACCCAGCTTTAGTATATATTTTCTTTATAATCAATTTCAATTTGAGGCATGGCACAAATTTTGAAGTACGACAGAAGCCTCTCATATGCATGTTTCGTTTATTTGAAGGTGCCATGCAGCAATTTTGAATTACTCCTGCAATGAACTAAAATGTGAATGCCTTGCAAATTGCCTGCCACAAAATGTACTTTACTAGGTAAATTGTCCTGGGCTTGTTACACAAGCTGAAGATGATGACGATACTGACTGCCGCATCGTCACTGATGAGGACAGAGGATAGCGCGTGTACAATTTAGGTGCACACACGAGGCCCAATGCCAGTGCTACATTTCTAATTAACACTGCGTGCACTTCACCGCAAGGCACGACTGCCTTGCGGTACTGTTCAATTATTAAGAAGACGCTTAAGGTGGCAGTTTTGAGCGGAGATATAAAGTGCTCCCAGCATATTTTCAATTTTATTTCCTTTGTTTCTTCTTTGTATACACCCACAAGAACAGACATAGCTTAGGAAACCGATTATCGTCATCGGCGACAGCATATTTTAGCAACTTGGGAAATAACGTCGTGTGGACGCCTGCTAATATTCCATCGCTTCCAACTTGTAAATTTCGTATCTGTCTCACGCAGTTACGCAAGACGAAGCTTCAATGAAAGTTTTGGCACAAGCATACACTTCACCCAAGCGACCCATCGATCCTTGCGCAACACACGCACTTACCAGACATACACGTACGGTATACATCCGCAAATAGCAAAACACACGATGTTCATGCTCGGGCAAGTCGTTACCACATTGCTTATAGACAGTATTACAGAACGACACCACCCATCAATGCGCAGAGGCGGTTCTCGCGGATGCATACAGCTCGCGACCAAGCAAAGACCATGACCTACTACACTCCTGACCTGTTCAGATAGCGGGGTTCCTATGGGAGCGCGTGTCCCCGCTCTCGTTCAATCGCTCGCCGTAGGTGGCGCTACCTATAACCTGTTCGTCTGCTTCTTTACGGTTGTTTTGTAGGCGCTGGTATAAGAATGCCTGCTTTCTGTGGTGAACTGTCGGCATATATGTGACTATTTCTTCCCATACATTGCTGGTCAAGTAAGCTGTTCAGTGCGCTTAAGAATTTATAGCACACTGGTGACAAACGTGGAAACCCGTGGATTTACATGATTTGGACAGCCTATGCGTTGTCGCGTGCATTTTATTGCAAAAAAATTCTGAATGTCTTTTAGTATTATTATTTCTGGATATTTCTAAATTGTGGATCATAAATTCGCACTACGAGTGCTTTGTTGGTTAAAATTTGACTACAAAGAGTGAAGGTGACGTCAGCGAACAGGTGCTAGCCTAGCGCCACGCCGCTCGACGGAGGAATAAGCGCGCCAGCAACAAACAGCGCCGCCCATAGCGGTGCATAGAATCTGATTTCTCCACTGTCGTTGAGGCGCCGTTCACGTTCACGACACTGAAGAAATCTTAAGCATAACTTCTCGCGGCGGTTGGCGAAGTATGCTTCTGCACATTACAGGTTTTCGGTCGTGGCATTACTGACAGTACTTCGTTAGACCACTTCGGTTCGGCGTCTTCCAGTTCTGTGCTTGGTCAGTAGGTGTTCTGTGGCTCGGTTGATTCGGTTGGGTAGTGTTGTTGTCTTGGTCGGCGTCCCCAGGCAAACCGGCGACCGTTATAAAAAAAAACGGTAAGCAAATCTGGTGGGCTTGACAGTCTTTGACATAGTTGTTTATGACCACTATTGCCATATCTTTGTTTTTAACATATTGATAATGCATTACAGAGTTTTTGTGGCTCGGCGTTGTCTGACGGCGTCCCGAAACGAACCGGCTTTAAAACTGTAAGCAAATCTGGTGGGCTTGACAGTCTTTGACATAGTGACAGTCTTTGACATAGTTGTTTATGACCACTATTGCCATATCTTTGTCTTTAACATATTGACAATGCATTACAGAGTTTTTGTGGATCGGCTGGTTCGGCGTTATCTTGTTCGTCAAGCGTGCACAGCGCGTTTCTGACGGCGTCCAGAGGCGAACCGGCTTTAAAACGCTAAGCAAATCTGGTGGGCTTGACAGTCTTTGACATAGTTGTTTATGACCACTATTGCCATAACTTTGTCTTTAAAATATTGTTAATGGAAGGCATGTTACAGATCAGCAACTATGTATTTAACGTGGAATGCGGCCCCGCCGCGGTGGTCTTGTGGCTAAGGTACTCGGCTGCTGACCCGCAGGTCGCGGGATCGAATACCGAGGCGGAAATGTTGTAGGCCGCTGTGCTGAGATTTGGGTGCATGTTAAAGAACCCCAGGTGGTCGAAATTTCCGGAGCCCTCCACTACGGCGTCTCTCATAATCATATGGTGGCTTTGGGACGTTAAACCCTACAAATCAATCAATAACGTGGAACGCGGGAATTTCGCGTCTCTCTAAAAACCTTATCAGCTCCGAGTGAATAGTGTTCTTACGTTATAAAATGTTTAACCTATGTGTCGGTGCTTAACAGGTGGTTTTTTTTTTTTGGTAGACCACTAGTTCTCTTTGTTCGACTTGTAACGGGAGCCGCATGATCAGCGTGAAATTGGCGTGCATCACACAAGGATGCCGACGGCGTGGGTGCCCAGTAACCCAGGGTTCCCTTAGATTTTGTTAGGACCCAGGTAGCCTGCACACGTGTGTGCAACGCATACCTCTTGTGCGTGTACTAACGGAAAATCGTCTGTCATGTTCAAATATGTACCACCTGGACACTGAACGCTATATGCTCGTGTCCATGGAACTACATTTGGTGCTTCTGCACATTTCAGGTGTTCTGTGACATTCTTTGTTTGGTGTTCTGTGGCTCAGCTGATTCGGTGTTCTGTGGCTCGGCGTTGTCTTGGTCGGCGTCTCCAGGCTAACCGGCGACCGGCTTTAAGGGGAGATGCTACTCGAAGACACTTTTTTTTAATATTCACCCTAGAGCAATAAAACTTGAGCTGTTTATGGAACTTTTTATGCTGGTTTCAAATATATAATTAGTTTTCTTGCAAGTTACACACTTTTAGCTCTGCAACATGACAAAGTGAAAACCGTAATCGTTTTGCCCCCCCCCCCCCTCTTTTCATCCCTAAACCTCTGTAATTTTTTACCATTCACAGTTCATAATGCTTCAAATAAAGTGTAGAGTGCAAATAACTAATTAGGAAGCACTTACAAAATATGTAATATGCGTGAAAAATAATACACGTAAAAAAGTCCACATTTCACCTACCCTAGTAAAGGTTTACATACAATATTTTTTTATTATACAATAAAATATTGAAATATAAACTAGATAATTGCACTTGTCATACATTGAAAAAACTTGGGCAAAATTTCATGCAGATCCGAGCACTAGAAGTGCCCGAAAAAGGAGGGGCACACTGAAAAAATAGCAAAATTTGTGTTTTGAGAAAAATGAGTTTTTATTTATGAAAGATATCATTAAATGAGATGAAATTTGCACACCAAAAAGAACAATCCTTCTTGTAGTGGCCACTGCGACTAAAATACGCCAGCACCATGAGTTTGTCGCTTTCAGCTTTTTCGAGTGTACTCGTCACAGACATTTCGCTCACAGACAGGGCCATCAAACGCTTGCCAAACTTCTGCTCCATCTGGCAGAGCCTTGTGCCAACCGCAAGCTAGGAAGAAGTTCGACAGGACTGCAAAAGCCAAACTAAGTCCAGCGTCATGCCATTTTGCAGCCATATTTGTGCCACATATTGCTGTACATAATGGCAATGGCGTCTATGCTAAGTTCTCTCACTGCGAGCTCTTTCGACCTCTCAAGATTGGCGCTGACGTCATCCATTGCGGCATCACGAACTTTCCGGCTGATGGGTGTGAATGACTTTTGATGCATTGGCTTTTGCAAGCCAACAACTGCCGCAAATCAGACCAGCTGCTCGTAGTCTATTCCTACAGAGCGCGCCGCACACTGGCTTTCACTTACGAGCAATGCCTTTTTTCATTCATAACGGAGATAATTAGACAAGAAAAGCATTGTTCAGTTGCGCTGCTCTTCAAGACATGGACCCCGCAAATAGGTTTCACAGCACATGCAGGCGCGCAGCGGCCAATGGCGGTCCCCGATTCGTACCATGTGATAAGCCAGTCGCGGTGCTCGAAAAATGTGCAGAAGAGTGCTTCGTTTTATTATTTCTTGCGCTGCATCAGCGAGAGAAACTTTTTATTTGAAGAGTGAGGCTCGACTCATGCGATCAACAGTGGCAAGTGGCGGCGCAGTATTGGCGGCAAGGTACTTGAAGACTGCACACTTTGGACCTTTCAACTGGCATCTTGTGCTCTCCAGATGCAATTTTAAAGCATTTCCAGTTAAGTCTCGGCCTGTATTATTTTTTTCATATCAGTAGAGGTACTAATTTTATCAAAACAGGCGAAAATAAAAAATAGGTAATTTTGAAAAAAACTCGTTTTTCGACCCGCATCTCCCCTTAAAACTGCAAGCAAATCTGGTGGGCTTGACAGTCTTTGACATAGTTGTTCATGACCACTATTGTCATCGAAAATTTTGGTGGAGCTCGTTGTCTTAAAATGGTGCTTTTCAACCAAATTATTTTCCTACTGATACATTCGCCTAAAATTCAGGTGATAATGCCATTTGGGGAGTTCATAAAAAAGAGGCAAGCAGGTTCTATCTCTGCCTTCGTTGCACTTTTCCACAGCAGTTGGGTCGCAGAAACTTCTAAGTTTCTTATCACATCCGACAATATATGAGTAGATAACAAAGGTCGTTGATGTTGTAGTAATATTTGCGAACATTTTAATTGCAATCAGGTGACTCATGCCCATGTTGTTACGTGTTCTTTAAGGCTGATGCCATATTTTTCATGTCTATATTTTTCTGTATGTGTCTTCTGGCAGTTAACATCAATCAGTCTCTTGTGGGTATTATTTATTTGATACCTAATATTACTGTATCCTGTATCCTAATGTTACTGTATCCTGATACCTATTATTACTGAACGCAATAATTTACGAATTTTGAATACCTTCTACCGAAAACGAGGAAACCGCAAGTGGACATGGAGGAGCCCTAAAGGCGAAAATAAGAACGAAATAGACTTTATAATGAGTGCACACCCAGGCATCGTGTAGGATGTGGGAGTGGTTGGCAAGGTACGATGCAGTGACCATAGAATGGTATGGTCTCGAATTCGCCTAGACTTGAGAAAGGAACGGCAGAAACTGATACGCAAGAAGCCAATCAATGAGCTAGCACTGAGAGGGAAAGTACAGGAATTCAGAGTCTCTCTTCAGAACAGGTACTCGGCTCTTAGTGAGGAAACCAACCTTAGCGTAGATACAATGAATGATAATCTGATGAGTATCATTACGGAGTGTGCAGTGGAAGTTGGAGGCTGGGTAGTTAGACAGGACAGTGGCAAGCTTTCCCAGGAAACGAAGAATCTCATTAAGAAGCGTCAAATCATGAAAGTCTCAAGTATAACAGACAAAATAAAACTGGCAGAGCTTTCGAAGTTGATTAGTAGACCTAAGGTATGCGATGTAAGGAGGTATACCATGGAGAGAATGGAACACGCTCTGAAAAACGGAGGAAGCGTCAAAGCAGTGAAGAGGAAACTTGGGATAGGCAAAAATCGGATGTATGCACTAAGGTACAAAGAAGGCAAAATAACTACCACTATGGATAGAATATAGCGGAGGAGTTTTACAGAGATCTGTACAGTAGCCGGGACAACCATGACTTTAATACTATAAGAACTAGCAGTAACCCAGATGACATCCCACCAGTAATGATAGAAGAAGTCAGAAAAGCTTTGGAGAGCATGCAAAGAAGCAAAGCTGCTGGTGAGGATCAGGTAACATCAGATCTGCTGAAAGATGGCAGACAGATTGTGTTAGAAAAACTAGCCACCCTGTTTACGCGCTGTCTCATGACGGGAAGAGTACCAGAGTCTTGGAAGAACGCTAACATCATCTTAATACATAAGAAAGGAGATGACAAGGACTTGAAGAATTACAGGCCGATCAGCTTGCTCTCTGTAGTATACAAGCTATTTACAAAAGTAATTGCTAACAGAGTAATGAAAACATTAGAATTCAATCAGCCAAAGGAACAAGCAGGATTTCGAACAGGCTACTCAACAATGGACCACATTCATACTATCAATCAGGTAATAGAGAAATGCTCAGAATATAACCAACCACTATACGTAGCCTTCATGGATTACGAGAAGGCGTTTGATTCAGTAGAAATATCAGCCGTCATGCAGACACTGCGAAATCAGGGCGTCGATGAAATATATATAAACATCCTGGAAGAAATCTACAGGGGATCAATTGCTACCATAGTGCTTCATAAAGAAAGCAACAGAATACCAATCAAGAAGGGTGTAAGGCAGGGGGACACAATCTCCCCAATGCTATTTACCGCATGCTTACAGGAGGTTTTCAGAAGCCTAGAATGGGAACAGTTAGGGATAAGAGTTAATGGAAAGTACCTTAGTAACCTGCGCTTCGCCGATGACATTGCATTGCTGAGTAACTCAGGGGACGAATTGCAACTCATGATTACGGAGTTAGACAAGGAGAGCAGAAAGGTGGGTCTTAAAATGAATCTGCAGAAAACGAAAGTAATGTACAACAAACTCGGAAAAGAGCAGCGCTTCGAGATAGGTAATAGTGCACTTCAAGTTGTAAAAGACTGTCTACTTAGGGCAGGTAATAACCGCGGAGCCGAACCACGAGATTGAAGTAACGAGAAGAATAAACATGGGGTGGAGCACATTTGGCAAGCACTCTCAAATTATGACAGGTAGATTGCCACTATCCCTCAAGAGAAAGGTATATAACAACTGTATCTTGCCAATACTTAGCTATGGAGCAGAAACCTGGAGACTTACAAAGAGGGTTCAGCTTAAATTGAGGACGACGCAGCGAGCAATGGAAAGAAAAATGGTAGGTGTAACCTTAAGAGACAAGAAGATAGCAGAGTGGATTAGGGAACAAGCGGGGGTTAAGGATATCATAGCTGAAATCAAGAAGAAGAAATGGACATGGGCAGGGCATGTAGCGCGTAGACAGGATAACCGCTGGTCATTAAGGGTAACTAACTGGATTCCCAGAGAAGGCAAGCGGGTTAGGGGGAGACAGAAGGTTAGGTGGGCAGATGAGATTAAGAAGTTTGCGGGTATAAATTGGCAGCAGCAAGCACAGGACCGGGTTAACTGGCGGAACATGGGAGAGGCCTTTGTCCTGCAGTGGACGTAGTCAGGCTGATGATGATGATGATTACTGTATCCTAAGGCATGGTTGGAAAACCATGAAAATAGGTATGCATATCTAGTTTATAAAACTGGAAAGGCTGCGCACCACTAAGGAAAAGAAACGTAAATGAAGGAGCGTTCGTTTTATAGTGCACTAGCCCATCAACAAATTTTGCTTTCATGTATGGCATCTTTTAAGCACACATAGGTGAGAAAGCTTTCGCTGAGTTTGTATTGTATGCTATGTGTTTGCTATATATTAAATATAATTTGGTTGACATCGTTATATGTAGTTGTGGGTTTAGAGTTTGGCTAAGTGCTGCCCTGATATAGCCAAAACATTTGGACTTGGGAAGGTAGTAAGGTAAACTTGTGAAGCAATCTTTATTAAGTATGAGAATATGGAAAAAATATGTATTTAAAATTATTTTCGTAGTATCGCAAGTCTCGGTAGTAGTAATAGAAAACCTTATGTTTGTCTGAGATGGAGGCTTGTGGGAGGGCCAGTTTTCATATTCCTCTGGTGCCAGCCGGCCTTGAGCTTCGGCAACATCTACGGCCACCTGTAGTTCAATATGTGGGTCCTAATTGAGCCTTAGGGTGATGCAATTCTTACGTGCCTCTTAATTTGATGGCTTGTACTTGATTTGTTATGCTTTGTCATGATATTATAGAATTATAAATGATTCGTCATTTATGCCATACCCATGCTTGAATGTAGCTGCATTAAAATTCCTTCTGCATCTCGTTTTGAGAATCCATGCCACTTGATGCTCTTGCACATACTTTATGTTGTTATTGATAGTCTAATGAGTTGTTCTTTATATTGTTAAGCTGCCTTTTGCAATTAAGGATTTGTGGTGTTGTGAGGTGTGCATTTCAATTGTTGTCACCCTATAGACCTTCTGACTGAAGGCTCCCCGAGCGCTGCCATAGTCCTCTCTGGGCTGTTGTTAACATGTGTGACCCCCAAAGATACACTGCCGAAGCTGTGATATCTGCTTTTGTGCTAGTGTGCAACAATCCAGAAAGGAGGGGATCCTCCTCTCAATAAAAGACCTTAATATATTTTTCATTTCTGAGTATATCGCTTAGCTTTCATCACTTTTTTGTATTGAGAGCTATCTAATAACTTACCATCTCTCGACCGCTTCAGGGGAAGAGAACAAAACTTGCTACCATTTCTACACAAAGGCATGATAAACTTTGAAGTGCAAAAAGATTTTTGTGGTAATGGGGGTGGGGTGAGGGTAATGGCAGAAGTTAAAAATGGCCTGAGCATGTTGTGCTAATACTGTGCAGGTCCCTTTTTAGCATGGGTGGCGGCCGGGCCCGAAAAGGGGGTAGCAGCAGTGGTGGTGGAGGAGCTGAGGAAGAGCCTCCAGCGCAGGCCAAGATGAGTGCTCCTGGAGCACAGCCGGAGTCCTTGGTACAGGTGAACAAGGCAAGGAAATCTTTTCCTGCCACTTCTGAGACCCACAAGACTCAGAGGAGAAGGTTCTATCGTGGAGGAACTTATGGTCTTTACCTGAGTTCCAACCGGCGCAAGCGGCGTAACCGAAAAGCTGGCTCAGATGGAAGTGGCACTTCTTTGGATGGTGAGGCAACTGCACCTGAAGCAGGCAAGGAGAATAGCTGTCCGCCACCGTCAATGGAAGCTCCAGCAGAAGAGAGCACAAACGAAGGAAATTCACAAAATGGAGCCCAGGCTGTAGAAGACTCTTCTGGTTGGGGCCAGGATTCAAGCATTGCCTCAAGTGTGAAGAGTCGACTACGAGTAAAGCGGCGCCTAATGGATGACCATGTTGACGTTGATGAAGTTAGCCTCTGCTCATCCAGCAGTCCGCCCGATGGACCTGCCAAAAAAGTTGCTCCATCTACAAGCAAAGGTGGGGCATCTATGAAGTTGTAGTGTTACCCACCATAGATACTACCATATTGGTGGTATAGTCCTGTCATCGGATAAAATTGCATGCTGTTTTAGATGTACTTCTAGAGTAAAAATAATTTCTGGGGTTTTATGCATCATAGTGGAAGACGCCGGACAGTTGTGCAAGCTGCAGTTCTTTAATGTGCGCTGTCATTAGACAGCGCACATTAAACCCACGTCTTTCAGCTAAGCAGCTGAGCACTGTAACCATTATGTCACCACAACAGCGCTTATATAGGTTTTCTAATTAGGTAAAACAATCCGGATATGGCATTCCTTATATCGAAATGCGACCACCGCAGCCAGGTTCAGATCCGAGCCTTTTGGGTCAGTAGCTGAGCACGTCCACTGCGAAAATATAATCATCCACTAGAACCCATCTGTGATTGTCCAGCTTGTTTGATCGCTTCTGATTACTCCCGGACCGCCTCTGTCATTCCAATGAAAGCTTCTCTAGGCTTACCTTACCTTTGCAACAAAAGGAAGTGGGCCGTGCCTGTATTCCTCCCTTATAAAATCTATACTTACGATTTTAGAACTAAAATTCTCATTGTCAATGCCGCCTGTTCAAGTTCCAATTCGTGTAGACTATAATGTCAAAATCTCATTGCTTTTCTGCCAGACAAACTTCTACAGAGGATAATAGCTGTCTCCATCGCTAGCAACCCTGGTGATGCATGACTCGAGGCTGCTACTTTTAATTTGCTGAAACCGCACCTCTGTGTAACGCTGCAATGCCACTGAGGAAAGTTAAAGAAATAAAAAAAAAATCATGCCAGAGTGCTTTTTTTTTAGCAAACGCCGAGTCATACCTGTACACCGCTTTGTGGACTTTGTGAAAACTGCGAGCTCGGAACTACTAACTGTTCACACACATTTCATATATTATTTATAGATTTAGCGAAATCTTCTTTCTCGTATGACACCAAACAGATACCTGATGTAAAATAGTGCACCTGTTTTTGAATCGAGACTTCATGCCCAGTGGCGTACAAACTCTTTCGCGAGTGCGGGGGCAAACTGCAATCCTACCTCACTCGTCCGCCAATATATATATATATATATATATATATATATATATATATATATATATATATATATATATCGGTGCACTCGCACTTCGATATGAATTAGCATACACAGAGGGGACACGACTCTCATTCTTAGGTACCACGAAGTTCAATCACATTTTAACTGTGAAATGGCGCCCATAGGCCGATTTCCGCGCCCATAATGATTCGTCACACTCATTGCCTTGCAAAAGTTTTGACAGAGCAGTGGTGACGATATATTCTTTTTAAAGAAAATTATTTTCTGAAAACAGCCAATGCTTGACCGGTCTTTAATAAGTTTGCTCATTCCCATCCGTAACTTCGTGAACAAGAAATGTGGCAGCTTGGGCTAGTTGGTATGCCATTACGATAGTATAGCGCGAGAATAGAACGACAAAGAGACTTGTGTTCTTCTTGTCTCTTTGTCGTCGTTCTGTTCTCGTGCTATAACTAGCGTAATGTCATCAACAAGTCACAACAGAATAAAGGCATGAACAATTAATGTAATATTATAGGGCCCCTGTTCAGTGCTTACCTGCTCTGCAATACTACAGCACAAGACGCAAAGGTGTCACATAGGCGACCCGCACCGCAAAGAGCCCACAAGAAATATCATCAAAGAGCAAATGTTGGCAAAATTTCACTATGTTGTAACATTGCCTCGTAACATTTTCAATATCCCGTAAAAACATAATTGATTGCTGTTGTGACGGAAAACTTCACCTTACTTGTCGGGTTCCCAGCGCGCAGCAAGAGTGACCACTATCAAAAGTGAGGGGCTCAGCCCCCCAACTTTTTTCAGTGCCCCCCCCCCCCCCCCCCCTGCTGATACGCCTATGTTCATGCCCATGTCTACACGCTCATAAACTTCTCTGGCGGCATGTAATTTGTTTTAGGGCACTCTTTGGGGTTTTTTAAAAGCATTTTCTGCATTTCGAAGAGGCTGAGTGTGTGTGTTTGTTTATATACACACACACACCTAGCACACGCACACACTCGCACAAACGCACGCACACACTTGCACAGACACACACACACAGTCGAATCTTGATGATTAGAACTCGGAGGGGCCCAAAATTTGTTCAAATTAAAAGAAGTTTGACTTAATGAAAATAAATAAACGAAGGGCCGGGCTCTCCATGCAGCGGCGCATGTGCATTGAGCTAACACATGAGGGGAAAGTTTCATAAGACTTACATTTATTTACAAATCACAGGGCATCCGTCATTGATTGAAGTAATCGGTGATGCGTGCCTGCACACGTTTGCCTTGTAGCGAGTCAATTTTCCACGCAGCTTGAAAAGCATTCCTATTTCGGCTTCAACATTCTCCTGGCAAGAGAAGTTACGCTCGGTGTCCAGCGCCGACACTCATAAAAGACGACTGCGTCCGCTACGCAGCCACAGCGTGGCCACCACGTGACGAGAAAGGAGGAGCATCTCCACGCGGAGAGAAGCAGGTCGGCATTTGAGAGAAAACCATGGAAGAAGGAAAAAACCAACACTCCACGGCAGCTTTTTTTTTTTTTTGCTCTCCTCGCACTGTTGTTGAAAAGAGAAGGGTTGTGTGGCAGGGAACGGTAAAGGAGAAAGCGTGGCACCGGCGCGTCGCAGATCGGCATTTGAGAGGGTGCAAACATTCCACTGCAGCCTTTTCTTTTATTTTCCTTCACGCGCAACGTTGAGGTGTAGGAGGTGCCGCCTCGGGATCGGGCGGGGTGCTGAGAGTATTTTCGGAGTGCGGTATGTTCGAATTAACCATCGCAAGTGCTTGCGCGTTCAAATTACCGGCCGTTTTCCCCCATTGGAGTACGCATAGCTTTGACGGGACCTCATTGTGAGTTCGAATTAACCGGAAGTTCGAATCAAGCGTGTTCGAATTAATGAGATTTGACTGTGTGTGTGTGTACATACATACATATATACATACTTTGCAAAAAAAAAAGCTTCACAAGAAAGAAAAAATGCATATTTCTGATTAAAAAAAAAAAAAGACATTTTGATTGTGTGGTTTCCATTGCCAGAACAACGCTATGGTTATACAGCATGGTGTAACGTTGCCTCGTAACATTTTCATTCTCCGGTAAAAACATGATTGATTGCTGTTGTGACGGAAAGCTTTACCTTACTTGTCGGGTTCCCAGCGCGCAGCAAGAGTGACCACTATCAAAAGTGAGGGGCTCAGCCCCCCAACTTTTTTCAGTGGGGGCTGGTGCCCCCCGGCTGATACGCCTATGTTCATGCCCATGTCTACACGCTCATGAACTTCTTTAGCGGCATGTAATTTGTTTTAGGGCACTCATTGGGGTTTTTTAAAGCATTTTCTGAATTTCGAAGAGGCTGAGTGTGTGTGTTTTGTTTATGTATATATATATATATATATATATATATATATATATATATGAGATCTAACAGACAGTAAAGCCAAGGAAAGTACACGGGAAGTTATTAGAACCAATGGAATGTAAATAAGAAGAAAGAAAAGTGGATGAAAAAATAACCAGCCGTGAGCAGGAATCGAACCTACGACCTTCGAATAACGCGTTCGATGCTCTAACCACTGAGCTACCACTGCGGCTTTCCCTCTATCCAGTTTTTTTGGGTTTACACGTGAATTTAGAAGTACGAGTGACAGTCAGCGCCATCTATAAGCCAAGCGACGAGTGGGAAAACACTCTCTTATGCGCATGTTTGGTGTCACGTAGCACGTGAACTTATTATGAGCGGGCAGCTGATTAATAGTCCCTCATATACAACCTAATGACACCAAGTCTGCCAGTACGAGACCCTCATTTAATGAAATAAGGGAAAGAAGTGTATATCTAAGGGCTCGTTTTTCCGTGTTTTAACACAATATTAATGAGATCTAATAGACAGTAATGCCAAGGAAAGTACAGGGGAAGTTATTAGAACCAATGGAATGTAAATAAGAAGAAAGAAAAGTGGATGAAAAAATAACCAGCCGTGAGCAGAAATCGAACCTACGAACTTCGAATAACGCGTTCGATGCTCTAACCACTGAGCTACCACAGCGGCCTTCCCTCCATCCACTTTGTTTGGGTTTATATGTGAATTTAGAAGTAGGAGTGACAGTCAGCGCCATCTATAAGCCAAGCGCCGAGTGTGAAAACACTCTTTTATGCGCATGTTTGGCGTCACGTAGCACGTGAATTTGTTATGAGCGGGCAGCTGATTAATAGTCCCTCGTATACAACCTAAATACACCAAGTCTGCCAGTACGAGACCCTCATTTAATGAAATAAGGGAAAGAAGTGTATACCTAAGGGCTCGTTTTTCCATGTTTTAACACAATATTAATGACATCTAACAGGCAGTAATGCCAAGGAAAGTACAGGGGAAGTTATTTTCATTGGTTCTAATAACTTCCTCTCTACTTTCCTTGGCATTACTGTCGGTTAGATGTCATTAATATTGTGTTAAAACACGGAAAAAGGAGCCTTTAGGTATACACTTCTTTCCCTTATTTCATTAAACGAGGGTCTCGTATTGGCAGACTTGGTGTCATTAGGTTGTATACGAAGGACTATTAATCAGCTGCCCGCTCATAATAAGTTCACGGGCTATTTGACGCCAAACATGCGCATAAAGAGAGTGTTTTCCCACTCGTTGCTTGGCTTATAGATGGCGCTGACTGTCACTCCTACTTCTAAATTCACATATAAACCCAAAAAAAGTGGATAGAGGGAAAGCCGCTGTGGTAGCTCATTGGTTATAGCATCGAACGCGTTATTCGAAGGTCGTAGGTTCGATTCCTGCTCACGGCTGGTTATTTTTTCATCCACTTTTCTTCTTATTTACATTCCATTGGTTCTAATAACTTCCCCTGTACTTCCCTTGGCATTACTGTCTGTTAGATCTCATTCATATTGTGTTAAAACACGGAAAAA